CCACCAAGCCAATCACTTAACTCGGTTTTTTAATTAGTCCTCCAATAAAAGCTCAATGTGCAATTACATGCACAATTATATCATAAAAATATTTAGTAAAACAAAAATTGAAATTAAAAACGTCGATAAAAAGAAATGGAGAATAAAGCAATAGCAAATTGTTTACTAGTCATGGTATACCAAACCACCATTAACAATGGGTGGTGGAACTTCGGCTGAAGATTGGTAAGATATTGTTTTCTTCAAAGTCAAGACGACAATTCTGCGTAAAAGAGGGTACTGTCACAATTATTCTAGCCTTTGAATATTGGTAACGGAAATGCCATTTACTCATAGCTTTAGCTTTGGAGATGGGGTTTCCGATAAAGCATAGTTACACATGTGTAATTTTTGTAAAATGTTTTTTAGATTTAATATGAAATAATATATATATGGGTTTGTTATACAAGGATTAGTTTGCTATATCTAGCTGAAAAGATTAAGGTCATGTTCATTTTCGTTGTTGAACGCAATATTCAAGTGTTGCGGTCATAAGTTGTACGATTATGTATATGTTTACACAATTTTTTTTTACTTGTTTCTAAGAGTGCCTCAACACGCTCTTACAAGCGGGAACCAGTGTCGCCGCCACGAAAGACCGTGGTAACACTATGAGTAATTTCTTCTTGTGTATATATTATACTTAAGTTATTGTTTGCTATTTTATTTTTCTTAAACTTGGGGCTTACATTCCATTTTGAGCCTAATCCTCTTTTAAGTATCTTACCCAGCTTTTATTTTATTTGATATGATCTCATCTACTCCTAGGCGCAGGATCACAAATAAGGCCTTGGACCGTGCTAGAACCACACCTCTCCTTGTCGCATGTCGTGAAACAAACAATGCATGTGTTGAGGTAAGTTATTCTATTCTGTGAAACAGTTTTTGTAGTATTTCTAAAATGTATATCTAATCTCATTTTTGGTCATTTGTCACAGTTTCTACTCTCAAGAGGGGCCAATGCATCCGCTGAGGATGCTGAAGGAATTACAGGTCTCCACTTGGTTTGCCAAAATGAAAACGGATCTCAAATTGCAAAGGTATAAAAAACGTTTTCTATCTTTTTGTATGTTTTTATTCAAATATTTTTTTGTATTTAACTTGTGTTTTGGTGCAGGTCCTCATTGGCGCAGGTGCCAACGTCAATGCCACAAACGAGTACGGGCAGACTCCACTACACTTGCTCTGCTGGATTGGTGAGAGCAGCTCCCTCGGTCTTCTCATAGAGGCCGGAGCAAATGTCTCTCTGATGGACGATTTCGGCGACATAGTAGGTCTTTTTTTGTGTGTGTCTTTCTTTATATTTCTTCCGTTTTTTTTCTTCACAATTTCAATATTTGCACCTCTCGTTCGTAGCCTCTGCATTGTGCTGCGGAATGCGGATTTGAAGAAACTTCCACGCAATTGGCGATGCTGAACGACTTGATTGAAGTCGGAGCAAATCCAAATATCCGGAACGAGGAAGGAAATGTAAGATTAAATGAAAACCTTTATGCATAAATCTGTTTTCAAGTTTTGTTTTCAAGTCTGATATATATTCTTTGACATTTGTAGTATCCACATACGGTTGCTTCTTCTGTGGAAGCGAGGGACAGGTTGCAAAGGGAAATCAGGTTGAGGTTACTCGATGGCAAGGACTGATGCATATAATCTACTCTAAAAATTACTTGGTCTTTTGCATGTTGCATATAATCATCTACTCTAAAAATTACTGTCTTTTGTATTGTTGTTTTTGTTGAAAACTAGCAACAGTAAGTAAGTTTGAGTAAAGATATTCTCTTATTTCCTCTGGTTTCAATCTCAATATTTTTTTTAGTAAAAATAATTTGTTGGGATCATTATGCATGTAAATTGTTCTGAACCATACCAAGAAGTTCGGTTTAGGGAATTGAACCTAGTAGATATTATTGAGCTTGGAATATCTACATTCTACTATAGGTTGTTGATTCGAAAACCGGTTAGGTGATCGGTTTGGTTAAACCCGTTAGGACCATATTAACCCACGAGCTAAATATTTTTGCGGTTCGATCTCCTATCCGGTTTTAGAAAACATTGTTAATAATCGATTTTCAAGAGATTTTAATTTCGACGAACCGGGACTCTAATCCATCTCCAAATTTCTCGATCTTCCTCTTACTTCAATCTCAGTCCTCGAAATTCGACTTCCTCCGTCGCCGACAATTTCGATCTCGTCTTTTCGAGCTGTTCGGATGATGATTCCATTGCTTTTTGTTGATTACCCAGCAGATTTTAGCTACTCCGACGCTTCAAGTTTTGATAGAATCATCATCACATGGAGAAAAGGCGGTATGTTTTGATCTGGCTTTTCATATTCACATTCTTTCATCTCTTGGTTTCTCGTTTTTTGAGTAATGGGTTTATGAATTTAGCTTATCCAAATTTGTAGGGTTTATAAATTCGACGATATTGTAGCGGAAGCTGATGAGTAACGCTGGTGAGCAGATTTTTCAGATATGTAGTGACAGTGTCGGAAAAACTGTGGAGGGAGATTTCTTTGTGGCGTGTGATTTTTGCTCACTCCCAGCTTGTAGACCTTGCTATGAGCATGAAAGGAAAGATGGAAATCGATCTTGTCCTCAATGCAAGACAAAGAGACACAAGGGTACATTTTTCTTCTGGATTCCATATATATTATATGTCAACTTAAAGTCTGAACATTTTTTTTTGTTAGTGTGATTTGAACTTATCCAGCTTGAGTTTACTTGTGAATGTCTGGGATCTGATTGTGTCTTTCACTCATTGATAGATGTTTCTGGGGAGTTTTCTGCTGCTTCACCTGAACGCCAATTTGCATCTTCTTCTATAGCTGGTGAAAAGCGGCTTCCCTATTCGTCCAAGATCATTCAATCAATCACAAACCTCAACTATTTGACCATACCTAGGCTTCCTTAATTTTGTCTACACTAAACTCTGCTGTATTATTGCCCTTGCAGCAAACAGAAGGACAATGCAGCTGGGAAAGAGAGGTTCACAGCTGGACATTGGACAATGTTGCAGGAGAACACACCCGGTCTTCCCAGCGCACTTAAGCTGCTTCCAAAAGGGGTGCAGGGGATAATGATGCCAGCACTGATCTCTTCACCAATGATGCTTTCCCTGTGAGTACTACTTTTGTTTTCTCGTATTTCCTTGAGGATATGCGGTGTCAGACCTGTGTTTTCTTCTTTTCCCTAGTTAAGTGACGTGCTGACTCGATTGTTTTTTGATTTCAGGTTCTGAATTGTGCAGGAATGTGGAAGCTAGGCCTACCGAATGGCTGCGGTTCCTAATCATGTGTCTCTTCTTACATTATCGTATCACAAATCCAATGCCAAATGCATTTGCTCTTTGGCTGGTTTTGGTGATACGTCCATATCATGGAATTTGGGTCAGTTCCCCTGATTGGTTTCCTGTTAACCGTGAAACATACCTGGATTGACTATCTTTACTTAGAATCACAAATCTTTTTGGGAGCAGAGATTTGGTAAACCACGGTCTTTGTTTGAGTTTCTTGTGGCGTGGCTTGTGTCATTTGAATTGGTTAGGACTGAAATTCCGTTGATTGATTGTTCTTATTACCTTGAGTTTACAAAAGAAAGAGAACAGTAATTCCTATTATTTTGACTAGTACTTGTAGAAACGGAGAAGGAGAACAAATTCAAGAAGGTAAGTAGTGTGGTTCCAGATGAAAATGATTTTGTTGATGCCGTCCTTTCTCTCAAGATCGTGTCTGCAAACTCGTCCTGTGTGTTCATGGTCATTTCTTCAGAGACAAGCTTTTCGGACAAGTTCTCTAAGGTTTTGGACGAGTTTCCTCGCCTCTCTCAAGTTGATCCATTGTATGCTAACATTCTTCATCAGCGCCACAATATGCATCACTAGTCACTGTGCAGAATAATAGGGATTACTATTCTCCGGGTACACTAGATGAAGTCACTTATGCAAGAGAGACGATAGACAATATCTCCCAGAACTGTGTGCAGCTACTGAAGAAGGATGATGACTGTGTATCACTGGACCAGTGGAAGTCCCTGAAAGTGGCTGCTCTTGCGTGTAGGTTTACTGTTACAAAGAGATGCAATCCTAGTTTGGCTTATCTCCAGAAAGTCAAGCAGTACATGGCGAATTTGGAAGATGATGCTGCAACTTTGAAGAACTAGTAGGATGTCTTGGCTCAGGAACATAACTACCCCGTCCCTCGACATGTTTATGTTGACAATATTGCGGACTTTGTTGATCCAAAGACTTTGTTGATCCAAAGACTTTGTTTTGAGATCTAATATAAGACGTTTATCTAGATTTTGTATATATTCCTGACCTACAAGTGGGATTAGTATCACTTTTTATCAAGTAAATGTGTTATTGCTTTTGGAAGGCAAAAACAAGCCCGAACACTTTATGTGGAAATGCCTAAGCAACACTCTTCCTGTGGCCGGAACACTTTCACATCGACATCTCGACGAGACCCATCAGAAATCAGAAATCAGAGACAACATTGGATGGATCTATACGGGTAATGCTGATCTTAAAGCTTCCAGGTGCGAAG